GACGAGACCCGGCCACACATTCAAATTTGATGAGGTCGAAATTCTCGCAAGAGGTGACAATCGAGTTAGCCGAGAATTACTTGAGTCAGAGTTCAGGGGCCCCCAATCCATAAACAAGTGCAACGACCTACCCAATCCATATTCGGTGCTGAGACTAAATTTGGCCAGAGCAGGTCGTTACTTGGGGAACGGACAGGCCACCGCGTCATCCTACGCCAACACTGGAGGGTCAGATGTCCGAAACATTACCGCCGAATCCATCACGCGTGAATAAAGTTCAGTAGGTCAGAGCCCGCGTGCCGTTCAACAAACTGTTAACACACCAGAAGGCAATTACCGTTAATTGTCGTCGTATGTTTGCAGTAATGACTGTATCCTATAAATACTGCAACTCCTGTGCATGTGTTACCCTTGTCTGCTATTGCTTATGTCTCTGATGATGAATCCACGACGGAGCTCGAAACGTCAGGTGAATAAAACTACTATCCCAGCGACCGAGGCGTTTTCTTCTCGTGGTGTAACGCTCGATCATCAACGAAATACGTTGCAGGGCTTTTAGTTAATACTTGTGATGTCGACTATTTAGAGAATCAAGCTTAACTTCCCACGCAATATGAATGCGAAAAAGCTCGACTTACAGTACTGGGCGTTTTCGCGTAGATCAGAGATCCAGCCGCGAGACGGAAGTATCGCTGCAATGTATTCACAGACAGAACGCGTGGGTAGTTAAATTGCCAGTGAAGGGGGGAGGAGTGACGGAAGGGAGATAGGGAACAAAAAACTTACCTTGTGGTAACCTTTGAGCGGCCACTTACGACCCTTCAAAATGTAGCCCTCCACGGGGTCGGGTGCTTTTCGATTACCAGCACCTTGATTGGGCAGGATCCGAAGTGAGGGCATACTGCCCGCCGAGGTCAACGTGCCTTTCCTGCTTCCGAACTTCATCCTTCTCTCTGAACTCGCCGAGGATGATGTAGTGAGATGCGAAGTTGAACTGGATTCCATCATACCTGTGTAGAGTAATTAACATTGCGTATATTTAGCAAAGTAGGTGCATATCAGAAGGTATTACAGGTAACAAAAAACACAAAAAAGCAGTAAAATAGATGTTAAGACATCTAAA